CGCTCAGCACTGCGGACATGCCTGCGAAATGGTGAGCACACCTGCTCACCTGCGCCCGCTCACCCATGCCTGCCACTGTACTTGGAGGAGTGTGCCTGCTCTGCGGGGGCAGTGTGCCGGGGGAGTGTGCCGGGGAAGTGTGCTGGAGAGCATGGTAAGCACGCCCGCTCACGTGCACCCGCTCAGCACTGCGCACATGCTTGCGAAATGGTAAGCGCGCCCGCTCACGTCCGCCCGCTCAGCACTGCACACATGCCTGCCAAGTGGTCAGCACACCCGCTCCTGCCAAATCGCAAACACGCCCCGCTCAGCTGCACCCGCTCGCTCTGCTGCCAAATGACAAGCACGCCCGCTCACGTGCACCCGCTCAGCACTGCATACATGCTTGCCAAATGGTGAGCACACCCGCTCACCTGCACCCGCTCAGCACTGTGCCCACGCCTGCCAAATGGTAAGCACGCCCGCTCACGTGAGCCCGCTCAGCACTGCGCCACATGCCTGCCAAACGCTCCCTCATGCGCACCCGCTCAGCACTGTACACATACCCGAGACCCAAGACCCAAGATCCGAAACCCGAGACTCGAGACCCGATACCGAGACCCGAGCCCGCTCAGCACTGCGCACATGCCTGCTTACGCGCGCCCTAGATTCGAGACCGAGACCCGAGACCCGAGACCCGACACCCGAGACCCGAGACCCGAGACCCGAGACCCGAGATCCGAGACCCGAGACCCGAGACCCCAAGACCCGAGACCCGACACCCGAGACCCCAGACCCGAGATCCGAGACCCGAGACCCGAGACCCGAGACCCGAGACCCGAGACCCGAGACCCGAGACCCAAGATCCGAGACCCGAGACCCCGAGACCCGAGACCCGAGACCCGACACCCGAGACCCGAGACCCGAGACCGGAGACCCGAGACCCGAGACCCGAGACCCGAGACCCCAAGAAACGATACCCGACACCCCCCAGACCCGAGACCCGAGATCCGAGACCCGAGACCCGAGATCCGAGACCCGAGACCCGAGACCCGAGACCCCAAGACCCGAGACCCGACCCGAGACCCGAGACCCGAGATCCGAGACCCGAGACCCGAGACCCCGAGACCCGAGACCCGAGACCCGAGACCCGAGATCCGAGACCCGAGACCCGAGACCCCGAGACCCGAGACCCGAGACCCGAGACCCGAGACCCGAGACCCGAGACCCGAGATCCGAGACCCGAGACCCGAGACCCGAGACCCCAAGACCCGAGACCCGACACCCGAGACCCGAGACCCGAGATCCGAAACCCGAGACCCGAGACCCCGAGACCCGAGACCCGAGACCCGAGACCCGAGACCCGAGACCCGAGGCCCGAGACCCGAGACCCGAGACCCGAGACCCGAGACCCGAGAAGTGTCGGGGAGCCGCGGGCCCATTGTCAAGTTCGATCTCATATATATACAAGAAACAACACTCTTGGGCAGCATCACCTCCAAAGGGCCACAAACACACAACACTGACCTGTCGAGTCGGCTGGCCAAACAAAGCCTAAACTAGTTGTGTGGGCCGGTCTTGTCTAAAATGAAGAACACAAATTCCAACCAAAAGAACAAAGCTGGGCAAAACAGCAGGAAATAACACAGCAAATCAAAGGGTGTTGCTCCAATACACCAACAAAGGCCAACACAAGGCCCACCCACTCCCAGTTATGGTTTGCGCACCAACAACAATTTGGCATTCTGCATTTGCTAACCATGGAAATGCATGGAGATGCAACATGCCTGAGAGGTTTGCAGCTAACAATATCGCAATCACAAAAAATGTTCCTGCTCCATGACCCTTTAAAAATGGGCGTCATTTCCCACCAAGAGGCCCAGGCGTCCGTTTGGTAAAATTGTTGGCCCTGCTAGATGGAACAACAACCATCTAAACCAGTGCCATCTATTTCTATCCAAACTAACCTAAAAAGGACACCAATGGTCATGGCCCCATTGAGCTATGGAGACTCCAGGGTGAGACCTACGCTCCGATTCGATCTCCAGCCTCCCGGCCGATTTGTTTCCGCGCGACGCGCTTTCGCGCCAAATCGACCGTTCCCCCCCCCCGCTGGAACCGGGACGCAGCGCACAAGGAAACAATTGACCAATACTAATGGCATGGGTACGTCTCCGAAGAAGCGATGCAAGCGAAGCCGCCCTCTGAAATGCTGGTTTTGGGACCCTCTGCACACCTCTGCCGAGCCCCAAAATTGGCTGATCCAATTATGGGACTTGTCAAGCTCAAGAGCACAGGACTGGTGAACTTTGGTAGTTACAATGAATGATAATTCAGCCCGGTGAACAAAAATGTGAAGCAAATATTTGGCGAAGGAACCACACAGCGCAGCCTCAAGCATTCGTGATTCGTGATGATAGTCGCGATTTGAAGGCAGTGAGCACGAATGGCTCTTGATCTTGGGGATGGGTCGACAAGTGGGAGCCGCGTTGTCCATGGATCTGGGTGAAAGAACGCGGTTGGGGGGCTATACTCCCCACATAAACCACTATTTGGGGTGAGGTCGTGTGAGGTCGTTAAAATTCACCCAGATGGATTCATGCTCGCAAAAGGGTCTCACTTGTTGCTGGTAAGCGGGGAAAGCGTCAGTTCGGAACCAAAGAACACGCAAAATATCCAACGTGATCCGCACTCCCCTAGACTAGGATGCGCACCCCAATTAAACCAATCGACATGGATTTCAAAATCCGGGGTCAACAGTAACCATCTTGCGGAGATGGGTGTGTCCAAAGCCAGGGGCTTGCCAAAAGGCCAAACATGGGTTTCTTTCAATTCAAAAACACTCCGACAGCCATGAAAGATACCTTCACGGATATCTACACCAAAACAACAAATGAGCTGGAAAAAAACCGTATTAAAACTCTTATCCCAGGATGTTTTCATTGCAAATCCAAGCGGCGGTCTTCATAAGAGTGAGGTCCCCCAAAAACATGCCCCTTAAGTGTATGAGGTCTCAGGTGTGTACACCGCTGCACATTGTTGCTGGCTGCTGCTGCTGGCTGCTGCTGCTGGCTGCTGCTGCTGCTGCTTGCTGCTGCTGCGGCTGCTGCTGCTGCGGCTGCTGCTGCTGGCTGCTGCTGCTGCTGCTGGCTGCTGCTGCTGCTGCTGGCTGCTGCTGGCTGCTGCTGCTGGCTGCTGCGGCTGCTGCTGGCTGCTGCTGCTGCGGCTGCTGCTGCTGGCTGCTGCTGCTGCTGCTGCTGGCTGCTGCAACTCATTGCTGGGATCTGTAGAAACAAAGAAAATGCAAACTACAGACAGAAATGGGCCACTCCTGATCCAAGGCATCTACGACTTGCGCGCGACTTGCGCGCGACTTGCGCGAAAACTTAGCAATCTTCCGGATTCTTTCGACCATGCGGATGATGATGATGATGATGATGATGATGATGATGATGATGATGATGATGATGATGATGATGATGATGATGATGATGAATCATCACTGCGTCACTTGCGCTTCACTTGCGCTTTACTTGCGCGGCCCCATGTTTGACTTGCGCGGCCGCTCCTGCAACACACTCCTGCCATTCAAATTACAAGCGGCGGTGCAGCTAATTTGATAGGTCCAAAAGACCTGGGATCATGCCTTACATTGACACATACAACGTTTTTCTTTTTGTTCCGTTTTTTTTTTTTTTTTTCTCCGACTCAAATGGGGGCGTTGGGGACAAGCCATTGAAGATACTCCATCCCAAGATGGAGAATCCCAAAACAAACGCGGTGGCACGGTTGTCTAGTTTCGCTTGGGGTAAGCCATGCTCCGGTAGGCCCTTACCTTTGCGGCCAAGATTGAATGGACTTCAATTAATTGGACTGTGGTCTGACAAGCCCTCATTGCATCGAATTGGGCACTGCCCCTCAGACTCAGGAAGAATAACAAAAACACCTAGAGGCACTTTGAGCGTTGATCAAGAGCCTGACGTACTTCACGCGCATTTGGGCACTGCCCTTCAATGGGCACGGCCACACAGGTTGCCAGGGGGAAGATTGTGAAGCCGCAACAATGGAAACCCAAACGGCCTACTCCCAGGAGGTGCATGCAGTGGCGCCTTACCGGCACTGGGCACCACAAGCAACTTTGCCCGTGTTTTTGACAATTGCAACAAGCCTGCGAAACGGCACAACCGAGCAGTATCTGCCTATCCACAGCTGGAGCGCACTTTTGTGACACCATGAATTCCATCTAAGCAGCAGGCCGCGCTGCATACAAGCACCAAACATCCAATGAGCCCGCATTGAGGATTCCCAGATCCTGAGGGCTTGTTGGATGGCATCTTTAGGTGCATTGCCCGATGCAAATGGAGACGTGGGCTGCTTGTCCTTGTGAAACTCTGTGACTCACTTTGGGTCCCGTGAAACTTGCGCTGAGGTGGGAGCATTCAGACGCTGACATGCTTCGCAGAAGCGAACCTTTTGGCCAGTTAGGGAGGTTAATTGCTTCCCAATTGATGCAACGTGGACCCAGTGTCAGTGCCAATAAACCGGGAGGCGTGTTCCCCCAAACGTGATATTTACATTCACCGTGAGACGGGACACCCCTCATTAATGAAACGGGGTTTATCTTGCCCCAGTTTAGAAAGGAGGCTGTTTACCTATGGTCACTTCGTATGTGTTTTGCATATCACATTATATATATATATAGTACTTCATAGGTACATGTACAACATGTGGACAACAGCCACAATATTCTGAGCTCATTCTGAAATGTAACAACTCTCCTTCCTGAACTAAGAAAGGCCCAAGAGAGGCATCTTTCTGGAGGACACAAACCTACACCTCTTCTCTCGCTACCAACCAGGGAACTAGTGCATAGGGTTGCGGGATACAGCCAAATTAAGTCATGCACATGTGGGCGTCTAAGTCATAGGGTTGATAATTACAGCCAAAAGTAAGCCATGCACATGTGGGCGTTTAGCCTGCCAATTTGCGCCATCCCCACTGAAAACAAATCAGCTCCTCTCTCAGATCTGCTGCAGGTATGCCTTGAGCTCTACGAGCAACTCCTGGAACCGTTTCCGCGCCATCCGAGCGACTCTTGGGTCCCTTTGGGAGTTTTTTTTCCAAAATAGGAATTGGTCCCCTGAAACGGCTTGTGCCCTTGTAGTGTCCAGCTAAAATGGGGTGACAAATGCTGTTCTGCGTACTTCGCTGCCTTTTTCTCCATCCAACCCCGCATAGCGAGATCATCTGTAACGTAATATCAGCTCTTTCACGTCCTTTGCCAATTCTATTCTCAAAAGCAATCGTAACCCAAATCCGTTGTAAAGGCGTTCGTCTCTGTGCATGGCGAATAGGGCAACTGACATGTGGTGTCTCGTACTAAAATCGGTCTGTGTGATTTTTGAGGGTATCCGTTTTGACCTTTTGAGGGTAGGGTTACGGGGAGCACCGACCATGCGTTTTCTTTTCTTTTTTTTTCTGGGGGGGGGAGGCTCTTACTTTAACACATACTCACATGGCCAGGTCATTTGCTCATCCCGGCAAGCCAACGAAGTCAATGCAAAACCTGCCAGCAAGGAGACGGAAACAAATCAGAAGGAAACCTTTGGATGCACTGCTCGCAAAAAGCAAGCCGGAATCAGGCCCTAGACAAAGACTGTTCTTTTTGGTTGTTGACAACAACAAACAACTATTATTGTTCGAACATCACCGTTTGAGGGCTCGATTGAGCTTCTCTTCGGCTTTCTTGGGTCCCTTTGTGCCCAAGGAGGTATATCCACGGAAGTCTTCCGTGGATAGGCCAACAAAAGTCCAAACTGTTTGACACTACAAGGCGCCAAACCCAAAAACTCTTGTGTGTGTGTGTCACATTGCAACCCGGCCCATGACCAGGGGTTGTGCTCATGTCCGACGACAATGGGACTGTGACTCTTACAGATTTGGGCACTGGGTGCTCAATTCCGGGTCTGCAGAAATCAACAAATTGCCAGCCCCTGGTGGTTTCAATGTGGAGAAGAAAACTGTTGGAAAAGACATGTCACCTGATTCCGGATTGGCCACCCCTAAAAAAAAAGAAGAGCGAATGCAAATATTGTAAAACTCTATATATGAAATGCTTGTTTTTTTCAAATGACTCAAGTCCAACTCACGAAGTGAGACAGACCGACCGGACCCCACAAACCTCCACCGGGTCCTGATTCGGAGCCTCGCCCTGCGGCACGAAGCCCCCCGCCAGGACACCTTTGGCCTGGCAGACGGCTTGAGCCATCGATGAAAGCGTGACCATCCCCCTCAACCATTGGCATGGGGTGAAATATAACATTTCACCAACCTGAAATAAGGTGGTTGGGGGGCTACTCCCCACAGAAACCACCATTTGGGTGAGGTCATGTGAGGTCGTTATACTTCACCCAGACCATTTGGCATGATGGGATGCCATCCCCGAGCTGCCAAACCTTCCGAAAGCAAAGAGGCAGGTCACTTGGGGAAAGGATCGGTTCCATGTCAACTTTCGGGGCAGTAAAGGTCCGGCCCTGTGAACCATACGCTGCGCCAACTCGAAGGGGATGTACATGAATGTACCATCGCCCAACAGGTGCGCCGGTCGAATGAAGAACGCGAGGTTCCCATTTCCCTGCGAACAACTTGGAACATTATATGGAGGCTTGTTCAACACGGGGATGTCCTTGTGCGGACCCTCTTCTGACCCCCTGGAACTTGAACATTCACAAATTAGTTTTGAATCACCCTCAAAAGGGCTACGGTTGACTCCTCATAAGCAAGTCCTCTGATTGGGAATCAGGTCTCGCTTCGTGAGGCTTCAGCGTCTGTCCAGGGGCTTGCCCCAATAGATGACTGGGTACTGTCATTGATCAGGGTTGAAATTAGTCTAGAACATATTTGGTTGGACCCTTGGGTGCACGTCAAGCATGCGTAGGGATTCGTGTCAACCATGCCTGATTGCAACCACTGAAGCTAGCCAAGGATTGCATTTAAACACAGCTCACAGGTATCAGAATTTCAGTTTGCTTCGTATCCCACAAATACAAACGAAGCTCCCACCTTTGGAAGACCTAGTTCCACGAGTGGGGCCCAGTCCACCCTACCTGCCCCACCCCAATTGCCTTGACGGTGATCCACTGCCCAATGCCGCCCAAGAGGTCGAGGCTTACGCCACCTCGGCCGTCGGCAAATCCGGCAAATCCCTCCCGAGCAATCAACCATTTGAGATTGCTCCAACAATCCTGGAACAAGGAAACGCTTTGAGTCACAGGATTCCCCCTGGGTGAAAACCAGAAAGAGAGGCTGGTGCATGGAACCTCCCGTTTGCTCCTTCGCTCGTTTTAACACAGATTCCCATTGCTGGTCATTTGCTGTGCAGAAACCTGCTAGAAGCCCCAACCAACTCTTTGCAGCGGGCCGACAGCTCATCTTTGAGCTCGCAGCTTTGAGCCGACACTTGGCTCATAGAACCCCCAGCTTTGTGTGGCCCGAACTCCATAGTCGAACCCTTGTGACTTAACCTAAACAACATGAGGAATCAACTAAGCGTCTTTGTCCCACAGGACAAGGTCTCTTGAGGTCAAAACAAGAACAAGAGCCTCCTTTACAGGAATAATAACACATCCAAATGCTCTTGTGCTGCAGTTCGGGGCCTGAATCCCCAAAAACCAGCCACAAAGGCCCCATGCAAAAAACTGGAGTGAATGAGGGAGTCAAGGAGGTTGAAAGCGGATGCTGCAAGAGAATCAAAGCTCCCCAACATTCCCCAACCAACGAAAAGGAAGGAATGAAGGACAGAATGAAAAGCGCAAAGAAATAAGCAAAAGCAAGCATAAGGAACCAAGTGTATACTCGGCAACATATATATCAATGACAAGGTGCATACAATATTGAAATGTGTGTTCTTAACACGCTATTGATTGGTATATTTGAATTATGCAACCCACATAGTCCAGTCATCTGCTTATCACCTTCTTGAAAGCACGTGAACAGTATTCTTGAAATAGTTGGTTGTTGCCCCCCGGGTGGGGTTGCACAAGAAGCAAACATGTGCTTGCTCATCCCATTCTTACATGCCGAGTAGCCACAAAGAACGCGTCAAACATGGTTTATCTGACTGGCCTCGTTATTTTACCATGATCAAAGTCACCCCCTAAGTGGTGGGTTAAAGGGACACAACCCCATTTACTGACTTTGATAACCCCAGAAACCGTCAAAATAATGACCCCAGTCTGAGCCTCTTCACGGGTTGAGCAGGCTTCCTATGCGCCCCCCTTTTCACAGCGCCAAAGTAGAAATAACTCACTTTGATTCAGCCCAACAGGTGACGGATAAAACCAAGGAAACACAAACAACCCCACTTCAAAGGAAAAACCGCTGCCACCTTCCCGTCAACCTCTCGCCACCCCGGACTTGGGCTGGTGGGTTCCCATGCCCGAAAAACACCAGCGCCCCCAAACAAACAAGCGGGAGCCCAGGCTCCGGAAGGAAACTCAGCTTCCAAAACGGGTCTGCACCCGTTGAGATTGAGAGAGGCTACTTTTCAAGAGGGTTTTGAAAGTAAGTCATTCAAGTGTGCCAGCAGCGAACTCAAAGGGTGTGTTGGCAAGACATGCGTTGCGTCTTTCATGACGCCAGGATGGACAAGAATGGAATAGAACACCAAGATACAGAGTTCCATTTGTCAGCTACCCACAAAGGACTTGAACCCGCGATGGTTCACATTCAAACGGGCATAAGTCCGCAAATGGAGCCCTGCCAGCAAATGATTGCTAAATGACTAAACCTCACGCAAGCTGTTCATTCCCTTCATCCGAATGGAGCCTCGAGCCTTCTGGCTGCGAAGGCTTCGTTAGCGAGCACAGCACTACTTAGGGAGGAAAAGCATGTGCTTGGTGCCCTGGATGCAAGCACAAGGGATCTAACTGCCGAAAATCGAATGTGACTGAAAACATCCTGAAAAACATGCGGTCCATATCTGGCTTCATGTTTGGAAGGTCAGACATTGAACAATCTTCTGCCTTCAGAGGGTACCTTCTTCCGTCCTTGCGCACAACTCCCAAAAGAAACTCAATCCACATAGGCCTAAAAGATGATGCTTCCAATAATCCTTCGCAGATCGGCCCAAAGGGAAATTGAGCGCCTGACCGAAGACTGCAGGGTTGTCTGCCGGAGGGTTGTAGCCTGGGCTGTCGCTCTGGAAACATGCCAGTCTCAGGAGATACGTTTTGCCCTGAGACTCATGAATTTCATCTTGTGTTTTTTTGAGGATGTCGTTTTGGGGTAGTTTTACAGGGAACCGAACGGAAAGCCACATTTTTGAGGGGTCCCTTTCAAATCAACTTTGCATGCAGGTTGTGCAGCTGGACATAGCAGCATGTCGCTGCAGTGGCACTTTGCTCGCGCCATCACGGAATCCTTGCCAAACGGCATGGGACATTTCCCCCATCCCTAAGGGGGGACGGTGGTGGGGGTCTCCAGTTCTAGTTATCTAGTCTTCCCCAGCAAAGGGAAAGTTCATTATCTGTTTGCTCGGGGTGGCCTGTCTCAATCACACTGTCAACAATGATGCTCTGGCTGGTGACCCGACACTGCGTGAGCAAACTGCACGTGACCCTCCTGCAACAAGAGAGCGGCACTCCGAGAAATTCAACTGCTCACGAGGTCATCAATAGATGTCATGCAATTGGTCGAACGCTGTGATCATGCAAACAAAGACGTACATATTCAGGCGGTCCTAGTTGCCCGGGTAGAGACATTGCCCCTTTTCACTTTTTTGGGGTTGTTTTTTTTTGGTGGGGATCCCACCAAACAAAACGGATTTAGAGGCTGGGTGTGGCAAGGGCTGGCTGAGATCAGACTGTGGCTGCAACCAAAAAGCCAAACTGCGCTTCGCATTAGCACGTTTGATCGCCGGCAAGGAGATCCAAACCTGTCCACCCACTGCAATGACAACACAAAAAGAGTCCCCCCGAAGGATGAACAGAATCAACAAACATGAGCCAACTAAACAACAAGATATGAAAAGGAAAAGACAAGTTTGCCAGGAGACACATCCTAAATCCTAAATCATATCAAGAGCCCTGAAGAAACTGGCATTCCACTTCCAATGCCATGGTTGTGATTCACAAATCATCTGCATGGTTGTCTAATCTGCATAGTCTTAACCCACTTCTGGGGAACACAGAACATGTTATTCTCTGATAGCAATTGATAAGGTTTCATATTGGTGAGCTTTGCAGGAGACCCAATTAGAGCCAAGATTCATTGTCTCCCCAACTGACATTGGGATTTGGTGAGTAACCCATCCAGAGAACAATCCTCATGCAAAATCCTACCAACCGGATCCCTGCCGTAACCCGAAGTAAGCAGGTCGTACCATTTGTGCAGAAACCAACGGTACGTCTCCGGTGTGTCTCAGCGCGGGGCGAAAGGCCACTTTCACCGCCGGCTTACCGGCTTGAAGATTGCCCTTCGCCTGTGAAACAAAAAACAGGTGACATGGAAGTGTTCGTTTGTTTTGAATACCTCAAAGCTTAAACCCTGGATTTGGTTTGGCTTTTGGGACATCAACCGTCAGTTTTACGTCTGCCTTGTGATAGGCATGTGAAAGGCTTCTCAAAATGTCGGACCCCTCTTTGGTTGGTATTTCAAGGGACACCCAAAGAAACCCTTGCCGTTTTGGGGGGCCGATTCCGATCTTGAGAAACCTCCATTGCGCCCTCCAGCATTGGATTTTGGTGAGTGACCCCATTTCCCAATGAGGATTTGGTGAGTGTGCCCAATGTCATCCCTATATAGTGTCGGACCATGTCTTAAGCCACATCTTGAAGCTTACTGTCCTTTCTTTACCGGTTCACCAAGCTGAATCCACGCACCCATGAGTAAGAAGCTAGTTATGGCAAACACATGCACCGTTGTCAACTAAAACCTGGCTGCGCAAACCACACTCTTGTTGAGCAAAAGCACATGCACCTGGGCACTATATACAGAGCTAGGGATTTTCGTCCCCCCGAAGCGCCTGCTTGTCTGGCTTGCCAGCCCCCTCCGGGACCTACAGCCGTGGGCCAAGAGATCCCGTGCTGGGATTGGAAACTGGCTCGAAACAACCCAAACCCTGGTACCAAAAACAGAAGTGAACCAGGCTGTGTAAATAATGGGTGGCCAAGCAGGTTGAAACAAAAGGATGGCCCGTTCAGACCATGTGATGTTGAAAAACTGGTCCGTGGGAGAAGCCTTGCATTCCGACAGGTGAGCCAACTTCTTCGGGCAAAGCGATTGGCGCAAGCTCGCTTCGCCGAAGTCCTGAGGCTAAAACATGGACTTTTGAGCTGGCCAACTCCAACTTCGCAACTATGAGGCAAATGTGGAGCTGAACATACCATGTAAGCGCCCAAAACTCATCGATTGAGTCTACCAAGCTGAAACTGGACCGGAAAACAAATCCATATCTGGCTAGTTGGGGTCTAGGACGTTCATGTCGGATCGCAAGGGGATTGATCCTTGTATTATACGCCTCAACAATTCACCACTTAAGTTGGACAAGACTTTCACCCAGATCCCCGTTGACTTTAAAGGGACCCCTCTCCCCAAAAAAGGGCAAAACGGGTTGGATGGCTGAGTTAAACGGCCATGGGCCATGAGTCACTTCAATGTTTCATCCCAAGGGGCGTTTATTTAGGCCCACCGAGACCCCTGCCTCCACTGTGAAGAGGTTGGCGAAGTCGCCTGCTCATCAGAAACTCGGGTTGCATACTTTCGGAAGAAACTCCAGGTGCGCTGCATCCTTGGCTTCTTGCGTCGCAAGCCACAAGATTAATCTGGAGTATGTCCTCTGTGCACATCCACCCACGGGACACTCAGTCAACATCGTAAAACATCCTTGGAATCCTTGGGATCCCTCAACCTTGTTAACCATGTTCGGTTGAAAACCGGCAAAAAACAGGTTTCAACAACTGGAAGTCCGCATTCTCGGTGCATGTTGCGATTCTACAGCTGGAACGCAGTTCAAATCAAGTCCATGTTTACCAGTTGAGGGAAAGCAAGAGAACAGCTGAGGACTGCCCCCGCGAGAACCGCAGTGCACACCGAAACAATCCCAGACCCTAACCACCCGTCCGCCCACCTGTCCCCCTCCCCCCACCCTGAACACGCAACGAGCAAATCAGTGGCAATGAAACCTTTTACCCCTGAATAGAGTTTCTATGAATTGCAACTTGCAAGCTGATTGGTGCTTGTCTTAGCAGATTCTAGCACTTTTACCTACTTGTTCAAACACAGAAAGCCAAAGCCAGCGCCCTCTTTGGCGGGCTTGCCATGCATGATGTGCTTCCACTCAAGTAAGCATTGAGCTGGCAATGCGGCGGCTGCATCTGACAAAAGTGCCAGCCTGGAAGAATTTGGAAGTCGTACGTGACAGCAGGGATGCCCTTCTCCTGCATTCATCATGCAATTTCGGCGAGGTCTATAGGGACAGGATAAGCCCATGATAAACCTAAAAAAGAGCAGGTGTCCAACAAAGGGTCTGACCCATCCTACTTCGGCTTCAGCATTTCATGGGGTTCTCGTGTGCTATGGACTCCTTGGCATTAGGCTCCGTACCCCGCGTGCGCTTCCCGGTACCAATCTCCCCTACGCTACGAATCACCATTTGTTCAGGTCCTTGAATAAGAACCTGCCAAAAGACCCCTTTGAAAGCACAGTCTTCCAGGATTGGCAAAAGGACTCCTAAAAAAACGGGGGTCTTCCGCATTGGCGTGTAAGGTTCCAAGTGGATCGGGTCTGATTCACTTTAATTAATCTTCCGGACCCGAGGTTTAGACCTATGCGGCTAAGCCACTCTCAATCCATGCATGCAGGCAGCTCAAAGACGATACTCCGCAAACTAAGATGGAACTCGAAACAAGGTCTTTTTCTCAAAACGAGATTCCTCTAACATCGCGGGTTCCATGTTCATCTGTGGAAGAACAACGTGCACACACACACACACACACACACACACACACACACACACACACACACACACACACACACACACACACACACACACACACACACACACACACACATACACAATGGACAACCATACAAACACGCAAGCATGCAAACAAAACAACAATCAAACAAACAAACAAACAAACAAACAGGCAAACAAGCAAACAAACAAGCAAACAAACAAACAAGCAAGCCAGCAAACAAACAAACAAACAAGAACAACCAACCAACCATCCAACCAACCATCCAACCAACCAACCGACCGACCAACCAACCACTCACCCACCCACCCACCCACCAACCAACCAACCAACCAACCAATCCAACAGCCAAGCAACCCAACAACCAAGCAACCAAGCAACCAAGCAACCAAGCAACCAAGCAACCAAGCAACCAACCAACCAACCAACCAACCAACCAACCAACCAACCAACCAACCAACCAACCAACCAACCAACAAACAAACAAACAAACAAACAAACACACAAACAAACAAACAAACAAACAAACAAACAAACAAACAAACAAACTTACAAACAAACACACACACATCCTCAACACCTATGCATGGAGTCCCAAACACGAGCATCCTGTTTATGGGCAAATCTGCTCTTGTTCACAAAAAGCTGCGCAGCAAAGTCAAACATAAACAAACACACACAAACACAAACATCAATTGGCCATCCTCCGCAAAACAAGCATGGCTTCCCAAAGTCTTGGGACAATCTCTGGGCGAATTGCAACCGGAAATCAGACTGAACGTTTAATCATGGATGAGATATCGAGAAAAGAAAGGAGAAAAAAAAAAAAAAAAAAAAACGACCCGAAACACGGGAGAGGTGAGGTCTATAAAAGTCGCAATGATGTGCCCAGGTTGGAGTGTTGCTTCTTTTTTTGCTAGCCCCAGCTTTCACCAATGGGTTTTCCGCTGACTTTGATCTTAATGAGGGCAGGTCTTGGGTTGGTTGAGGGTTCAGTTAGGCTCTTGGGATTGCTTTAGCTGTGGCTTCGGGATTGCTTTAGGATGTGCTTACATGAGTTTTGGGCCAGTTGTGGGAGCTTGGGGCAACGCTCCAAAACATTCCAAAACCAATCCCACAAAGAGCCAACCCCAAACCACCCCCAGGTCAAGCTTAAACATCCTAAACCCACCCAACAGCCCGAGCAAGTCCCACCAAATTCGAGCCAACAGGTCCAGGTGAGGCTGGTGATGCTGGGGATGCGCCCCCCAACCAACCAACCAAAGCATCCCTCCAAAGCGACCCTGCCACGGTTCAAACCGGCCTGGGGTGCACTGGGCGTGCCAGGTGGTACGGATGCACCTGGCAGCATTTCTGCAAGGCCGCCCGAGCATGAGCGATGACTTCTAAGGGAGCCCAACCCTCGAGACCAGTGAAAGCATTTCAGGATACAGGTGCTCGCCAAGGCATGTCAGCGAGCATGGGGCCTAAAACCGCCCCGGATCCAGCGCTTGGGGCCTGATAAAAAGCAAGCCAACAACTCACATATGTCTGGCCGAAGGCTCCAAGCAAATTATCTGTGAACTCATCGCTGGGCCAACTCTCTTGGCCGAAAGCTGCGGGCATTGCATCTTTTCCCACGGACTGGGGGAAGATATGCCAGACCGTCATGTCCAATTAACGACACGCGCACGCTCACTGGCAAAGCGATTTGTTTGGAAGCCGCCACCCTCCCTCTGGCGATTCCATTGCAGTGCAGCAAAAATGCGAAGATCGCAAACATGCGTTCACCGGTGCAAAAACATGAATGTCAACCAAGTGCTTCAAGTTCCGTGTTGCGGACAATCCAATGGTGGGCGCGCAGGAAGCAACATCTCGAGTTTGGTGGTGTCGAAAGGTTCTGGCAAAAGCTTGAGATGGTCACAGCCTGTGGGATATGGGGGTAGGTTCAGGGCAGAACTTCAGAACTTCAGGACTTCCGATGGACACCGTACAGTCGGCTTGACTGTACCTTCTTTTCTTTCTTTCTTTTTTGGGGGGGGGCGGAAAGCCAACGTCATCGTCTCTTCACAGGCGGGCCAAACGGTTGCTTTGCCAGCATAGCAGGCTCCTTCAAAGCGCCTTCAAGGCGTTGAGACTCCCCACCATCTCCACACCCGGACAACAAACGCGAGGACAAAGGGAAACTTTCCATACCTTAGTGGCTTTGCGTCGAATAATCAGGGATGGGACCCCTGTGTGTCATATGGCCCTCTGTATGAACCCGAAATTGACATGATATGTTTGGATCGAAAGGAATCCTTTCTTCGGGCCTGCTACTCCCCTCCACAAATCTGTCGGGTGTTGGGACAGAAACTGACTTCACACGGAAACGGCTGGAGCAAAGCACAAAAAAGACCCGCAATGCTCCGAATCACACTCGCTGAGCATTGTCCGGTAGTCGGACTATGTGAAAGCACATTCAGCGAGGGGACAGAATGTACATGCAGCCCGGGAAGCAGCCTATCAACAATTCGGGGCTAGAACTGTGTGAAAGGATTCACAAAGAGACTCTCCCTGAGTCCACCAACATTCACAAGCCGACCCATCAAAAATGTGGCTCTTGGAACACCATGCTGGATTGATGCACCCTGGCTTCGAATAAACAGAAGTAAACACCTAGGAGTGTGTGTCAAACACGCGCCAATCTGGGGCCCAACCGCCCATGAACCACTCCTTTTGATCCATTCACATGTTGAATGGAGCAAATACCAGGACCCGCGTTCTTACACTTTTGACGGGTCCCGTTGTTCCCCGGACCAAGCAAGTGATCTCAAAGGCGAAAAGCAATAGCCATCAACAGACTTGAAGGAGAGTCCTCTTTCAGGTTGCGAAACCCTGGTCACATATGCCGCCTGAGGAGTTCCGATGGGTTGGCCCCTGCAACAGCGCATCGTTTCAAGGCATACACTGCCAATTGGCTGTGGCTCAAATAAATGTACCAAAATGGCACCTTGGTAAATGGAACCAAAGACTAAAACCGCGCAACCCTGGCTCTTAAATTTTGAGCCACTGCCAAATGAACTCCAACAAGCAACGGTCAAACAATGGTCAAGCTCCTGTGAGTCATGTTGGATCCCCCGCGGACGGTGGCTTTCTGATTTCTCCGGAGCCTTTGTGATGGTAGTGTTTTTTTTCCCCCCGAAAGGGTGCATGCCCAGTATCCCCCACTGGAATTTTGGGCCATGGCACACAAAACGATTTTCCTTGGGATAACATGGGTATGCGGCATTCTGCGTCATTGGCTCCCTTTAACCTAAGGACCCAAATGCCGCTGCCGGCCCCGCAAGCTCTGGCAGTTCGCCCGGGCTGAAAGACTCGTCCAGATTTGCACATTCCTCCGTGGGGTTCCATGGCTGTCAGGTGACACATCATAAAAAAGAGACCGGTTCGACAAATCCTGGCGCATCCTTTTTGCCCCTTTCAAGCTGTTCCAGTAGAGGGCGGGTTTCAGAACCCTTGTGGCTTCCTGTGAAAAACAAAAGGCATCCCAGTGCCGCTGTTACATGGGCTCTTGGAGGACCCGTTTGTGGAGTTCCATGATCATAATATCCGGACTGCGCTCATCAAAGCATTCCGTGCAAAATAAATGCATCAACCACTAGGCGGGTTCCCACAAAATTCGTTTAGACCCGATTCCGACCCCCCCAGCCTAAATTCAGCAGCTGGCCCAATTGGAAGACAGGAATCCAACTGTGCATGAGTCAGCTTGCAATCGCTTGCCATGGGCAAAGACTTGGGTCTGGGATTGGCCTCCAAACTGTCTTGGCACTGCGTCTCACTTGCTTGCCATGCGAGAAATGTGCAAAGCTGATCTAGTTCTGTACTCCACCCATGCCGGCTGGGGTTGTAATGCAGGCAGTTCTGGCAGCTGAACCAAGCAATCCTCTAACTGTTTGATTGACAAAGGGCCGTCTTCGCTTGATCCATGCCTGTTACTGTACCTGTGCTGATGTCCCCTGTGACTTCACTGCCAGCGCCTCTCAGGTGATTGGACCTCTCAGGTGACTAGGTCAGCAGGTCCTCACTCGATGGCTGCGGGGTGGCTCCGAAAACTTGGTGTCTCCGAAAACTTGGTGTCTCCAAAGGGGGGGGCCGGGGGGAGGTTCTTTCAATTGGAAACCACGCGAAAACAACCCATCTGGCGTTCAACTTTGAGAAACACTCCTGGGGCCCACTTTATGCCCTGGGCTCCAGAAGACTAGAGCCGAGATCGACGGGACCAGCGTGGGTGTTTTGTTGGTGCTTTAATTTAGAGGGAAAACATCTCGCAAAAAGGAACAAGTGGAAAAGACGGATTTTGCAGCTCCAAGAGGCAACGGGCTGAGGAACAAATAAGCCCCGGACAAACTGCGTGTTTCAGTGATTGACAAATAGGCCGCTGGGTGTTGGTCGGCAATTTTGGTCGTCCCCTCATGTCCTCCACATCCACAAACCACTGCAGACCACCACCACCCACGCCGGCAAAACGACGATGCGCAATTGGAGATGCAAGCATCGAATGTATTACAAGCGCCTTTCTGGTTCGCCTACATTCCATTCCTCGCCTACATGCTGCTCCATGACCCCTTCCCCTTCTCCTTGTCCCCTAATGCCTTTCGCATACATGATTCTATCATTCAAGTGAGTGGACAAACTTGTTGTATGCTTAAGGTTCACAACAAAGATGCCTACTTCAATCCGATACCTCACAGCAAACATCCAAGCGAGGTACGCCTCACAGAACGAAGGGACTTACAAAGGGAGACACTCCTAAAGCCACAGGACAGGGAATCCAAGAAAAAACACTACAAAACTTGATCTGGGGATTCTCGCCTGGGTTTCCCGCACAGTTGGGCAAAAGTAGGCACAGTTCCTCCAGTTTGGTTTTGTCGTCCCCTTACTTACCCACATCTACCCTGAACTGTGCGATCTACTCCCCCCTGATGCATATAAGCTGCGTTTCAGGGTGTACAGCAGGGGCCTAACTAATTAGAATTAGTTTTTAGTGTGCAAACAATAGTCATGACTACAGGAGTAAACTATTAGTTATCGTATTGACCTGCATATTGGGGGCACCCCCAACCAAATGGGCGGATAATGGAGTGACTTTGCCCCTTGTAGATTCGCCAGCTTTGATTCTACCTAGGGCCGTCTTCTCGAGGCTTCGCGAAACCGGTGGCAGCTGCCTTTCCTACTGTGGATGGACGCGAAATCCGTTCCTGCACCACTTTGAAACCGTGGAAAACCGCCGTTGGTATTTACAGGGGAGTCGAATCATATGGTTTCTCAGGTGATGCGAAATGGATTTCGTCCATCTACAGTACGAAACCAGGGAATTTCCTTTGGAAGAGGCATCAGCCATTCAAAAAGTCCTGCCCCCAAGTGCCCAAGCAGAATGGCAGCGTTCACCAGATCTCTGCTCCTTTCATCCCCTGTGCACTCCCATCACTCTGCAAACAGCCCAGCCTTCTCTCCGATCTCGGTCTTGGTGCACATAGAAGTGCAGCCTGCGACATGAAAGCCGTCGAAGCCGAACCTTCGGGATCGGCTCACACTGGGCCTGGCATGAGGGATTCTAGCTGGATGTGTCGTGGTTTCTTCGAAACATCCCAGCGCAGCCCCAGCCACCCTTGGTTTGCTTCAGATTTCGGCCCGACACTTGGAGACGCCCTTTGCAAGTCGTAGAGTGACACATGTCACGACTACACAGCTCGGTCTATTGCATTGCCAACTTGAAGACTCCGGAACAGGCTTGTTTGCAGCCTTGAAAGCTGATACTCCCGATCGAAATAATATGGATTCCAGAAAGAGACCCCGAATAAACCTGCCGGAAAACACTTGATTGCTAGTCTTGCTTGACAACATCGTGCTCACATGCGATGGATCCTTCTGAGCACAAAGCTCATAGCCACTACTCGACCCCACGCACCGGTTCTGGAATAAGCTGTTCAAAATGGAGTGATTAAGCTTCCATAACATTCAAGCCATAGTCGAAACCCACAAGCACTGACCTCTCTGGTTGATTCCTATCAAAGGCGGCAAGCCATCTTGGGGGTCCTTCACTTCAATCAGCAAGGCACACACCTCGGAACCTTTGTGGGTGTCGCCAAACCAAACCCGCCGCAATGCGACAGATCCCCTCCAGTCCCGCCTGCCATTTTGTCAGGGCAGCAAAATGGCCAAAAGCCCCTGGCAACGATTCCAATTTCGCGCTGCGAGTCTGGAGCTCCACGAAGCGCCGTAGGCTTTCTGTGTTTCAAATGAACTGGGCCTGTCCCAAATACACGTACTTATATATATATATTATGTACACAGTTTACATATAATATATATATATATAT